TCTCTAGGAAAAGAGAGTCTAGACCAGTACTGTCCAAAAGAAATATAATGCAGGCCACAAATGTAATTTTAAATGTTCTAGGAAGCACATTTAGAGAAGTAGAATCTTTGTAGGTGAAAATTAATTTTTACAATAGATTTTATTTAACCTGATATACCCCCAATACTATCATTTTAATATGTAATCAATATAAAAATGTAATAAGGTATGGCCCATCCTCTTTTTCATATTAAGTTTTTTAAATCAAGTGTGTGTTTTGCACTTACAGATGGCACATCTCAATCTGGATAGTGCCCAGTGGCCACACATGATGAATGGCTATCATATTGGACAGCACAAGTTTAGAAAGAGGGCCACTGACCTCTCTGTGATGATGCTGGGGTTCACCGTGACCACATCTGTCTTCACCCCTACATCCATGGTGTACTTCTCCGAGATGGGGGGTAGGTTGCACCTGCAGAAGAGATGAGGCAGCCCGACTGCATGTGGTATGTCATTCTAGATGGAGCTGGGGAGCTGGGGTGTGGCGAAGAAAGGGCTGGTGATCATGTGGGCAGAGGAAACCAGCTGGGTGGAATCTTCGTGCCTGGGCATGGAAGGGCGAGTTCAACCCCTTCCCTCACCAACCCTGGGTGACCCAATGGTTGTAGATCCACGACCCATGAGATCCCACTGCAGCCTCAACCCAAGTCTCTTTGCTTTAAGCTCTCATTTTCAGCCTAACTTCGTCACCCAGGCTAAAGAGGTAAGTGAGGATCCCCAAACAGATAAGAAGGGCTTCTACATAAGGAAGAAGAAATGCAAGGACAAGTGTCTAGCTTAGGTAAGGCCAGGGTGAAGCTCATATTGGTGTCAGCCACAAGACTACCCTGGTTCCAAGAGGTGCTTCCAGAAAAGTGGAACCCAGCCAGAGAGGTGGCTGCCCAGACGACCTCACCAACAGATCTGCATGACCCCTGGAAGTCCTCAGAGTCTTCACATCTATTATGCCATTTGCTCCCATTCTGCAGATGTGGAGACTGAGGACCTGAGAGATTCAACCCCTTGCAAGGGACAGAGCTAAAGGGGGAAGGGACAACCCAGAGCATGAGGTCTGCAGGGGTGGGGAGTGGGGATTAATCACGTAAATGGCAGCATTAGCAGGCTGGGGAACCAGAAAGGGGGCAGGAACGGAGGGGGAGGGCCATGGGGGTAGAAGTGGCAGGTGCAGACCCGGGGCAATTCTTACCGGAAGACAAAGTCGGCGCTGTTGATCTCCCTCCCGCAGCGGCTGTTCTTCAGGATGCCCCCATTGCCCACCACGGCACACTTCTTAAATTGGGACCGGTAGTAGGGCATGTCCTGGGGAGACAGGGGCACAGCTGTCAGAGGCAGTGCCACCCCTGCCTTCATCTGGTGCTCTCACCTCTGCGCCCACGTCCACCTCCACTCCTGGTAGCCTCACAAGACAGCCTTGTAGTAAATGTGGGAGAAAAGTGGTTATTCCACTTTGCAGATGAAAAAAGAGGTCAAAAGCTTCGTTCTCAGTTCCACAGGCAATTAGGAATGAGCTAGAACTGGAAGCCAGATCTCCACAGCCTTTTTCAATAAGCCCTGGGATGCCTCCGGTTTCCAGAAAGACGAGAGTACAAGTTATGGCTAAACCTGCCTGCCTTTGGTTTTCCCAATGGAAGCTCAGTTTCTTTTACTTCTAATCCACATATTTTAATGGTTAATGCAGACCTTCTGGGAGATGACAGCAGCAGAGATGTGGCAGAGCCACCGGGGACCAGGGCCCTAAACCTAGCCCTCACCCCTTTCAGCTCAGGGTAAGGTACAGACCCTCCCTCTGCTCCATGGGGAGGGCACAGGCCTGGGATAGAAAGGTCATATAGACTGGGACAGATGTCAGGACTTGGTAGCAGCAGAGACAAGTGACGAGGGGTGGGCAAGCAAGGCCACACCAGGGGAGCAGTGAGAGGCAGGGACACTGGGATCTCTGTCAAGAAAAAGCGTTGAGCACAGAGAGCCCAGGACTCACTCTAGTAACGATGGCAGCCACGGGGGCACTGGGAGGGAGCATCCCCCAGCGCTCCAACCTGGTCATACCTCGGCTGGTGGTGTTACCTTGGTCTGGGCGCTGGCTGCCCACAAAGACTCCCTGGGCATGCTTTCCAGGGGACCACAGGCAAGTAGGTAGGAAAAAGCAAATACTGGCCTGATTAGGAGACCTGGTTCTAGGCCACGTCCCCATTCTAGGCCTCATGGGCATCTTGAGGCAGGTGGGACCAAGCAGGCTCAGGGCACGAGTGTAGACCCGGAGTCCAGGGTAGGGTGACCAACCATCCCAGTTGGCCCAGGACTAGGGCACTTTGCTTGGGATGCAGGTCTTATATTTGGCCAAACCAGGATTGGGCACCCTAGTCAACAGACCCAATCCTGGTTTTGCCCCACAGTGAGGTGAGGAAACCACAGACAAGTGTTTTGAGCTCTCGGTGACTTGGTTTTGTAAATTTTGTAAAATTTATTACAAATTAAACTTTGTAATTTGTAAAATAAGAATAGTAACGTGTATTTCCTGTGACTATACATTTGAGATGATGTAAAGCAGAGCTTCTCAACTTGGCACTACTGATACTTTGGAGCAGATCATTCCTCGTGGTGGGGGCTGGCTGTGCACTGTAGAATGTGTAGCGGCATCTCTGGCCTCTTCCCACTAGATGCCAGGAGCACCCCCACCCCCGGTCATGACAAGCAAAAGCATCTCCAGACATTGCCAAATGTCTCCACCTCCCTGCCCCCACGTTGAGAACTACTGGAGTAGATGAAAAGCTTACCCACTGCAGGGCTTGGCGCAGAGGTGTCTCTGCAAGGGGACCAGGTGGTTATTACGGGATGGCCCTGAAGTTACCCTCCATCTCTGTCACCCAGAGGCTGCTGGGCAGCTTTCCTCCTATCTCACACCAGCTGGCCAGCCCTGCGTGACAGTGGCCCTGGTCAGCACCTGGGGCTTACGTTGGAACCAACTGCCAGACGAGCGTCACGGAAAATCCCACTACAATGGGATCATCAGCAATTAGGCTAAATCCAAAGGAGATGCTGCAACTGTCTGTGGGAGACTGTCCTTCATGGCACATTTTCCCTGGAGGGACAGAGGCTCTGGGAACCGGGCGGGGAAAACGAGGGCGTCTCATGGCCAGTGGGGGGAACTGCACTGTTTGACTTTGACCAGAGAAAGAATAAAAACAAAGTCCTTTTTGGAGAGATCATCAAGGGCTTTTTTTTTTTTTTTTTTTTTTTTT